CTACATTGGAAATCAATGCTTGATTGGTGTTGATCCAGCTGCTTGGATGTTTTGTAATGGAACTGTAGCCTTGTTGGAATTAATATTATGCTCCGTGTGATAACATAAAAAATCTGCACCATGGACATTTGCACAAGATTTTAATACTTTTGTTCTTATATTGCAAGACTAAATTATGCTCCTTAACCTCCCTGGCAGTATTCCCGAGTGTGGCTCGGGGTAAATTTTCAGTACCAAGAGCGATAACCCCGAACCACACTCGGGATTGCGCAAAAGTGTCACTTACCTTGTCCCTGCGAGCCCGCGGTGTTCTCTGTTGTGTGCGCCCGGCCGATGCCGGAATTCGGCTTTCAGCTTCTTTTTTGGCGTCACAGCGGGGGGCGGAGCCGGCGGGAAATTCAAAAGTGCAAACATGACATTTACACAGAATACACACAATACAATGTAATCTGCTATAATTACATATATTTATCAAACTATTTCACTTCAATTTTGTCCCTAGAGCTTTGTCCAGTGCCCTGCCTGCACTTTTACTGTACTCTATTGACTGTGGTACGGATCAGGCAGCGCCCCCCAGAATTCCCATTTACTAGACCATTTTTTTTATTATTATATAATAATTTTTTATAATTATTATATTATAATTTCTTATAATTATTTATTATATTATAATTTTATGATTTCGTGTTTCAAACTTTATCATTGCCTGGATGTCGACTGGACTCTTGTTTGGACAGATTTAGGTGAGTTATTCCTAAGATTTACTAAGAATTACAGGCCTACAATATAAAACAACAAATTGCTATGAAAAACAATGTACCGCTTTGGCATGCTAAAATCCTGCATAAATCATACCGCCATGGAGGTTAAAGCTGTGTGTTAGGCACATTTGATAGATACTTTTCAGGTATGACTGTTGTGTCTTTACCTGGACTTCAAAGGAATGCGGATTTCTGCAGGACACATTTTGGAAGATACTGTACTAGTATGTCTGTTGTGCCTCATTCAAGAAACAGTCTGTTTAATAGAGGAAGACAGGTTATTTTTCAGTGTGGAAATTCCAACAAAAGTATATACATCACATGAAGGGAGAATAATGCCCTAAAATGTCTGGAGGATGAGGGTAATCAGCAGTGCTCTGGTTTGACAGATGACTTCCAGTCACGTTCATCTATTATCATAATTTTTTATTATGTGAAAAGCATGAATAAAAAACACTTCAATGCGTTTTTGTGGCTCTTAAATGACCGCAGCGGAAAAGACTGCAACTCATCTGTCAAATCGGGGTGCCTTTTCTCACCCTCATCCTTGATGCATTTTGGAGCATTATTCTCCCTCCTCTATATGTACTTGGGTACCAGTAGCCTCCCAGCTCGAAACTGCTTGAAAGATCACCCAACGGGCATCAAGTGTGAACACCTCTGCAGGTACAAAAGTATTTCCCACAAGCCTTTTCTCCACGGTTGCTTGAAATCCCACATGGGAAATCTTGCAACTCTACGTATGTGAGTATATCTCTGTTTTTATTTTATTTTCAATTTAACACAAACATATACACCGAGTGGCCAGATTATTATGACCACCTTACGTTTGTAGGCAAATTAGCTATAATTTTGCGCTGAAGTTACTAGAGGGCCAGACCACTATAAATAGGGAAGTAGGTTGTTTACCACGACAGTAGAAGTGATTTTTTTCTGAAGATATGGGTAAACAACACGATTTAACAGCCTTTGAATGTGGGATGATTGTTGGCGCTCCGAGCCATGGAGCGAGTATCAGCAAAACAGCATTCATAATAATCTGGCTACTCAGTGTATATATGAAACTACTACACCACAGATCTCTCCCGGGCCCCGTTTTTTTTTTCCTTTCCTCTTTTGGAGTTACCTTTCTCTCAACTATATCCATCACACATTGAGGATGTTTTGTTTGTATGGTGAATACAGATGATGAATTGAGATACAACATCATTTGTGCACTTAGTATGGAGCATATTTATAATTCACATTTATGGCTTCCATTTTCACTATGACTGTGGGTTATCACATGCATGTTAATGTGCTTTGTAAATAGGCAGCCCAAAATGCATGCAGTGCAATACAATGCTTTGTGGTGTTCACTACCATGCAGGTGTGTTAGGGTGTCATTTAGAATGGCACCAACGCGTGTAACATGTATTACTTTTCCTTATGTGTTCATTATTATGTGCACTTATCCATACCAACCATCTTCTACTGGTCTGATTTTAGCACAGGAAATTCTTATTGGCCTCTATGGGTTACTACTCTTAAAATTTAGAAATGCAAGCAAATGTGAAGTTGTGAAGACACAATCCACACTAAGCACAGGATGTGCCTTCATATCGGTTTCATTGTAAAGTTTTAACTGCCTCAAATTTAGAGGTAATTGAATATGTAAATACTGACCCTACTTCCTGTTTAGTGCCAAGCCACACCTCCTCTTGCCTGCTAAACCTAAGGCTGCCAATAACTGTAGAATCCTAGATATATTAATTGAAATAGAACATTATAGCCCTCAAAATTAAGGATATATCAAGGAGACAACAATGCGACCCCAAAAAAATTATTTATAAAAAAATACCAAAAAGCCTTTATTTCCATACATATATTTTCTCCCATAAAAACATGTAGCGCCCTCTGCTATGTGGCTACTAAATTTAGTGTATATCTGGACTATAATCAGTCTGGATGCTGATTTTCTCTGAGTTCTGCAGGATTCACTGAGTCTGGTGGATTGATTGTTTCCCCCTGTGGCTGAGTTGGGGCCTCAGCATACAGTGAGGGAGGATCCATCCTCAGACTGTGATTATGCATCTGACTCTGAAAAATCCCTGAGCAGGCTGACTCAGAGGTATGGCTGGAGGAAGGTGATAAATGTTTGGGGACACTTTCCAGAATGCTCTCTCTCCCCTGGGGCTCTCCCTGGGAGGAGGTCTGTGTGCTACAGGATGCCTGGCCTAGGTCTCAGCATGTGGCAGATGCTGGGGGCCTAGAGGCCTAAAATGCTACACGATGCCTGGTCTGAGCCTCAGCAGGTGGCAGATGCTGGGGGCCCAGATACCTTAGATGCTACTGGAAAGGAACCTGATGGAAGCTGGGCTGGAGGTGGAATCTGCTTATTGAAGAGTGTCCTAGAGGAGCTGGTGAGAGCTACCATCTGAACCCTGTAAGAGATCCCTCGCCCTAATCTCAGGTACTATACAGAAGAAAAGCCAGTTGGTGCACTACAAGTCCTGTGACAGTTCTCTCTGAGTCGTGGACTTATCCTGCTGTTCTCTGGTGCTACTACATGTTACTGGTCGCTCATATAGGACCTTGTGCTACTGTTACAAGCTGTTGCTAAGGAAGAATACACAGTCCTCTATTTTTGATTACTCAGGTATCCTGCAACCCTAACCCTCTCTCCTAGTTGCTAATGTGCAAATGAATGCTAAAAAGACCCTACGACTGGTGCCTGTTCTGTTCCAGAGTGTCGGTCTTGCTGGAGCTGAGAAAAGGGCCGGTGGCTGGCAAAATAGGTAGGAGAGCCCTAGTTCATATCCAGCGGCTCCTTTTGGGGGTGAGCGCTACAAACATAATAAATAAATCAAGATGTATTATTTACATACTAAATTTTAAGATCAATAAAAAGATTGCCCTGGTATGCAGCGGCACAGATCCCTTCCAACAACATACTCACATAGTCAATATAATCACCCTTCAATGGGATTTGTAAACAAGGTATCCTCTTGTGCAGCCAATTGATATACTTTGTATAAAGTACCTGAGTTGCACTTATATCTCACTATTCCACAATAGATTATATTATAATAGCACAAATGCCATTTTCATCCTTCCATATATACAGCATATAGTTCTTGCATGAAATTTAACTGTGCACACTATTCATTTATATTCATCATCAGCTCCCTCATATGCTGTAAGATAGCAGGTGAGATGATAAAATTCCCGCTCTCAGGAAGTCCCATCCAGGGAGGAAACGCGTCGGGGCACATGCCGCTATAATATTGGTGCAGCGGCGGGGATACCACAGCGTTTGGACACCATAACAACAGTATGTAACTGCAAGGATTGACATGCTCTCCCTGTGTGGCATATATCTTTGATGGCCAAAGGGAACTGCTTCCACTCTGTGAAATAAAACAAGCACCACTCACCTTTGACAGGATGGACATGTGAGTAATAGCTGATGAGCTTTTACCAGTTGTGGACTGTTGTCATCCGGAGATAGTTACATATAGGTGGATCTAGGAGTGAAGGGATTTTGTGGATGCTGCTTATATTGATATCCCCTTCTTGTATATATGATTTATGAATTTGGTGGTACTAAATATGAATTTTATCATCTCACCTGCTATCCTACAGCATATTTGGGAGTTTCCGATGATGAATATAGATGAACAGTGTGCACACAGTTACATTTCATGCAAGGAATATATGCTGGATATATGCAAGTTTCAAAATTAAATTTGCACTATTATAATATCAGTTGTGGAATGGTGACATATAAGTGCAATTCAGGTATTTTATACAAAGTATATCAGTTGGCTGCACAAGAAGGCTGTTTACAAATCCCATTGGCGGGTTGTTGGGAGGGATCTGGGCTGCTGTATATGCTTGATACCAGAGCAATCTTTTGATTGATTTTAATATTCAGTATCTAAATTATTTATACTTATTTATTTATTATGTTTTTATGGGGGAGAATATACGTATGAAAAAACGTTTTTTGGGGTATTTTTGTATAAAGAATTTTCTTTGGTTACATTGTTGTCTCCTTGGGCTATAATGTTCTATAAGGTGTCTTTGGTGATGACATTGCAGCCATATTGGGCTCTCACACACCAAGTGCCCTCTCTTGTTTGTGTAGAATCCTAGATAAGACATAAATACTATACTAAATACTATTTAGATCTAACAGATTAACTCAGATTGATAACATTATAATTAAATTATTAATGTGATCTTTTTTTTATTTAGGGATATATGGCACTTATGAAAGAGGATGGAGTTCCTGATGACATGAAAGGAAAGGATAAGATTGTTTTTGGAAATATTCATCACATTTTTGACTGGCACAGAGAGTATGTATCCTTTTTGGTCATTCTTGTGTAATATTTAGAATCAAAAAGGTTTTCTGGACAGCATTGTTTTATTTATTGAACAACCTCATTAGAGTAGTAGAAATGTCATCACATCTTCTAGCTTTTTGAAATTGTTACGGTACCCCTCTATTAGAGTTAGTTTGTCAACAATGCAACAAAGGCCAGAACCAATGACCTGCTTAGTAAAATTACACTTTTTAATTTGTTGTTTAAATAGTTACCAACAGTGAGGTAGCTCAGACTACATTGCAAACTTATTACTTTAATTATCAATAAGAACGTTTAAAAGTGAACACAGGAATAATTTCAGGATTGCTTTACTGTAAAATGAAGCAACATGTTAAAATATTTGACACATACCCATGTTCGAGTACACTCATGTCAAACAACAGTACAATTTGTTTTGTTTTTTTGAAGACAAGACTGTTCCCTTTTTTATTTTTAAACATTGCAAAAGATTAAGTTTTAGTTGATATATATATGTATGTATATATATTAGGGATGCACCGATATATCGGCCGCCGAAACATATTGGGCGAAGTCTGCGGCTTCAGTGTTTTAAGATTTTCTTGTCAGATGTTACTATGGTATACTGAAGTATAATTACAAGAATTTCATAAGTGTCAAAGGCTTTTATTGACAATTACATTAAGTTATTGCAAAGGATCAATATTTGCAGTGTTGAACCTTCTTATTCAAGACTAGTGATGGGCCGAAGACCCCCATGTTCTGTTCGTATTCGAACGGACGAAAAGTTCGAATACGAACTCGAACGTAATGCAAGTCAATTGGGGTCGAACGTTCGAAAATGAAGGTCCCCTTTAACCCTTTCGCTGCCACCGACGTAAGGCATACGGCGGAACAAAAAAGCACTGTATGGCAAAGTAAACTCCCACTGCGGGCAGGGGGCGTGGCAGCGGTGCTATTGACTTCAATGCACTACCACACCCCTTCCCGCCCCAGCACGCACAGGGGAGTTTACTATGCGATACAGTGCATTAATATGCAAATCGCCCTTCCCACTCCAAGGTCACTGAAAGACCTGGGGGGTGAGACGGGGGAGTCAGGTCCTAAAGTTGCAGAATAGGGAACGCACTGTATATAGTGTGAACAAAGCCGAAACTCTGCTTTCCCTATTCTGCAACTTTAGGGCCTGACTCCCCCCTGTCCCACCCCCCTCATTGAGTGGCCTTGGAGTGGGAAGGGCGATTTGCATATTAATGAGACATGGCGTGATTTGCATATGAATACCACGGCTCAGTAATATGCAAATCACGTGATTAGCATATGAATGAGCCGCGGCCAGTGTTAATGGCTCCTGCAGCTCTATGGATCTAAGGAGAACAGAGACTTCAGTCCCTGCCCCCCCAGAGTCTTCAGTCCCTGCCCCCCCCCCAGAGTCTTCAGTCCCTGTCCCCCTCGACCCCCCCTTACCTGTCAGCAGCAGTGAAGATCACACATCTACTTTGCTGCTTCTCCAGACGATCACAGGCAGGAGATAGCTCCGCCCTCCCCCGCTCTGCACTGTGACAGGGGAGAGGATTGCCAGTGAGTATGCTTAGGTTCCGTGCGGTAGTGCAGTATTTCACTTGCGGCCGCACGGAAATTAAGGAGCCCTAAATCTCCCTCCTGCTCCCGACCGGGCCCCCTTCTGGCGCGGGCCCCATAGCGCTCGCATGGGTCGCTATGGCGGTAGTTCCGCCCCTGCTGGGGACACATAGTACTATGTGTCCCCAGTTATGAATGAACAGGCTGTGATTTACATCACAGCCTGTTCATTCAATAATTTATGAATGGGGACTAGCACTCACTACAGAGGCTCCATAGCCGAACCTCCGGCAGGCTACTCGTTGCTGTTCGGCCTATTCTCATAGGGCCCAAACAGCAGTGAGTGAATAGCCGAATGCCGCCGAGCGCCCTTCGGCTCAGCTATTCTGCTCGGTACCTCTGTGGTACCGTGCAGAATAGAAAAAGTAGACAAAAAGGAGAACATGATTGGGCAGTGACAGCTAGCTCTCCCCAACCGTTTTCTATTTGACGGGACCAGCTGTCATTACAATGAGAGCTTGTCGGAGCCGGCGGTCATATCAAAGCCGGCTCCGACAAGCTCTCATGACAGTCCAGCGTCCCCTGGTTACTAGGTAACCAGGAGATGCTGAACTGTCATTACACACTGAGAACCCGGCGGAGCTGCCGTGATATCACAGTGGCTCCGCTGGGTTCTCAGTGTGTAATGACAGTAGTCCCCAGTTATGAATGAACAGGCTGTGATTTACATCACAGCCTGTTCATTCATGAATTTCTGAATGAGGAGTAGAACTCCCTATGGAGGCTTTTCCCCATTCATAAACTGCTTGATAGTAAATATTTTACTATCAGCAGAGTTCCGGAGGGCTTGGCAGCGAAAGGGTTAAGAGGGCTTTTATGCAAGTTATTGGCCATAAAAGGTGTATGGGGGTCTGGGTACTGCCCTAGGGGACTTAAAGCAATGACATTTTTTTTTTTTTCAAAGGAACAGTGATTTTTACATCACTTAAAGGGTAAGAGTAAAAATGAAAAATTCCTTCTAATATTGTGCCTGGGTTGTCCCCATAACCTGCCTGTGAAGTGGCGGATCTGTAGGATGAATAGAACCCGCTGCAGCAAAAAGTGACATTTAAAAAGAAAAAAATGACATTTCAATTGACGGTAATTGGTTTTCCTTTAATCTATTAAACAACTGTTTGGGACGGCAGCCTGTATGAAGAGGACACATTTTATTACGGTCGGAACAAGTTTTGTGATTTTTGGGATAAATTATGGTGTCTCTTTTGCAGGCGTTGGATGAAAATAACAACAGGTGGTTTAAATTTGGGCCTTTGGTGCCAGCTAGGGCCTTTACACCGTAGCCCTCCAGAGGTATTCCTGAAGAGTGTAGGGTTGGACCCTGCGGTCAAATATTGAAATGATATGCATCCGGTACACCGTTCAGTGCACCCAAATATTGGGCCTTTGGTGCCAGCTAGTCCCGTCACACCATAGCCCTCCAGAGGTATTCTGGAAGAGGGCAGGGTTGGACCCTGCATTCAAATATTGAAATTATATGCAGATGTAAGTGCGGAAAAATTGTGTCTTAGTCGGTGGTGCACGACACCGAGAATCTAAGTTAAAGAATGTGTAATATTCTCCCACCAGCGTAGGCAGCCTAGAAAGTCTTCCAAATCCAGAGATCCCAGATCTATTCAATAACATCAGCATCAGGGGATTGATAGCTGCTGCTGATCCAGGACTGATTCATTTTTTAAATTTCAGCCGGTCAACGGTGTCTGTGGACAGATGCACTCTTTTGTCTGTGACAAAACCTCCACCAGCACCAAACGTCCTTTCCAAAAGCACGCTGGATGAAGGGCAGCCCAGTAGCTCCATGGCATATTGGCTAAGTTCTGTCCAGTGATCCAATCTCAATACCCAGTAAGCCAGTGGATCATCCGCTGGAAAGCTATCCAGGTCTGCCCTTGCCCCTAGGTAATCCTGCACCATATGGTGAAGACGCTGGCGATGGGTGCCTAAATTTAACATCCCTGGGCGTCGTGGACTAAAAAAAATTGCGGAAGGCATCAGTCAAGCGGCCCCCTTCTCCACCGCTCTTCCTTTGTCCAACTGCAGCCTCAGAAGCACCTCTTTCATCACTTGGTAACCTACCAGTGCCTGGAAAGGTGTTACACAAGTTTCGCTTCAGAGCGTCCTCCAGTTGTTTCATCCTGTGCTCCCTCTGTGAGGGCAGGATGAGCTCTGCAACCTTACGTTTATATCGTAATCCAAGAAGGGTTGCCAACCAGTAATGATCCCTCTTCTTGATACCACGAATCCTGGGGTCCTTTAGGAGGCTTTGCATGATAAGGGAGCCAATGCAGCGTAAGTTGGAGGAGGCATTCGCTTCCGAGTCGTCCTGGTCGCTGAGGATGACCCTATCGTGCACTACCTCCTCTCAGCCACGTACTACTCCTTGCGTTTCCGGTGACACAAAACCCTCCCTTAAAGAATGCCTTATGTCATCCTCACCTTTAAAGCCCCCGCGGCTGACATAATCCTCATCCTCCTGTCTGATCTGCGGACCAGCAGGAATGCTGTCTGCGTAAAGAGGGCCTTGAGAGCTAAGGAAGTCCTCTTCCTCCCGCTGCCTCTAGTGACACATCAATAATTCCCCGCAGAGTGTGCTCCAGCAGGAACACCAGAGGGATTGTGTCACTGATGCATGCACTGTCCCTGCTCACCATCCTTGGCGCCTCCTCAAATGGTGATGGTACAGTGCATGCATCCTTAATCAGTAGCCACTGACGGGGGGGAAAAAAACCAAGGCCCCCTGAGCCTGTCCTTGTGCCATACTCACACAAGTACTCATTGATGGCCCCCTGCTGCTTGTGCAGACGCTGCAGCATTGCCAATGTTGAGTTCCATCTGGTGGGCATGTCACAGATCAGACAGTTTGTGGGAAGGTGGAATTCCATTTGAATTTTGGCCAGGCGAACACTTGCCGGGTATGACCGTCTGAAGTGGCTACAGACTTTTCTGGTCTGCCTGAGAAGCTCTGTCAGCCCTGGGTACGTGGTTAGGAAACGCTGTACCACCAAATTTAGGACGTGTGCCAGGCATGGTATATGCGTCAACTTACCCAGGCGTAGGTTGCTACCATTATCACAGACAACCATTTCCGGCTCAAGCTGGTGTGGTATTTACCACCTCCGGGCCTGCCCCTGCAGAGCTGACAGAATCTCTGCCCCGGTGTGGCTCCTGTCCCCTAAACAAACCAGCTCAAGCACTGCATGGCATCTTTTTGCCTGAGCCGTTGCGAAGCCCCTGGAACCCTTCAGGTGAACTGCCGCTTCGCTGGACAAATCTGCAGAGGAGGACAAAGAGAGGAGGGGGTGGAGCAGACAGACCTCGGATCAGCAGCTTTCTGGAGGCATGGTGGATGAACAAGCTTCAGCACGGAGCCCCAT